CCAGCACTCATACAAAAGCTGTAAGCATTCAGAGTAAGGTCTTCCAAAATCCTCTGTGACTGCAAGCCGTGGCATCAAAATAACTACACGAAGAAACGTGAGTGGCAGCCACCTGTTAGACCTGGGGCCAGCTGCATGATGCCTCTGGGACACTTGAATTGCTATTATGCAGCTTTTTACAAGCCTAGTCACCCCGCTACTCACTGCTTGGGGCGGTGAGGCTTTCAGGATGGATTCTTAATTGGATGAAGGATGGTTTCATCTGGGTCTCAAAAGGGCCAGGCCCTGTGGGTTGCCTTGAAACTTTAGGTGCTTTTAAAAGTTTCTCTGTGCTGAGATTGTAAGTACTTTGGTACCACTTGAAGCGGTACAAAATAACACACACACACACTCTCTTTGTTTCTTGGTGTGTTCTTTCACTAATGGTGCCTGTTGCTTAAAATTGTCCGCTATAGGCTGTGTTCGTTTAGAGGACTTGGACAAGCAGTCTAAGTGATAAAATTATCTGTTGTGTAAAACCCAATCTTTTTCTTTCTCTTTCTTTCTTTCTTTCTTTTGTGGACAAACAGCAGAAATATCTAAGGGCGCTCTGCTGTGATCACGTGCTGTTTTTTACTGAGGGGGAGATGAGGGTAGTGAGTCTTCAATAAAAGCTTTAAAATGTTAATTGGCCATATCTAAAGTGGTGCCAAGTGACGGGTGCAAGCGAATCGCTCTCCCTTTGCTTCTCAACAGTTGAATGTTTCCTTTACTTTTTTTAAGTACTGGAGACGTCACGATCCCCTGCTTGCTTCTGCACGTAGGCACAGCATGACCTGACTTTCCTATTTTGAAAACAAGCTTTTTAAGATCATCTCACAGGTGCCTTCCAGATGTCATGAAGGAAAGCACAGCATTTACACTTTTGATTGTCAGTTTAAAACAAGCCAGAACAACCACCTTCAACTCCCCCAAACTTTGTAGCTACACCTAGAGCAGCTTGCACTCACTTTTTGATGTGCAACATTGATTTACAGAAAAAAACCCCACTTTTTTAAAATTACTTTTTTCACAGCAGCCGCACCTGTGCTAAACATTTGCAGGTGGCAGTCAGCCACAGCCTTTACTGAGTGTTTTTGCAGCACGGTGAGCTTTGGTCTGTACCTGGGGCACAGTTTGAGCTGAACGTTTAACCCAAGCTGTGGTTTCTTCCCCTCAGCCCCGCTGGCTGCAGCACAAGGCTGAGGACCAGCTAACGCAGAGCACCCGCCCTCCCGCCAGCCCTGGCTCTGCTGCTGCTCAGACCAGCCCTTGCTCTCTGCGGAGGCTGATGGACAAGTTCTGAAGGTGACTGTGTTAAGAACATTCTCGTAGCTGAATTTCAGTACGGTTTTTGTATTACTCGTTCCTGGTTTACTCTGGTTATGTTACTCTCGCCCTCGTGGTCCTGGATACCTTACTGTTGACTGCAGTTGTTTACTCTGGTTATGTTACTCTCGCGGTCCTGGATACCTTACTGTTGACTGCAGTGAAAAGGCAAATTTTAACTATTTTAAGTTTCTGCGTGCTTATTGTTTTGATTTCAGCACATGTACATGCTGTTGAAATGCTGCGTACCGGTTAAACGGAGATGGTTATTTCAAACTAATTGTATTCCTGAGGAAAGCCACAGAACAAAATGTGTTCAGAGAAATCTGATTGCAGCTTTAGTTTTTCAGATTTTTCAATCCAGAGCAGTTGTTGGCAGCGGCATTCTTGGTAATATTCTCTATCGGAAGCATACCTGCAGAAGAAACTAAAAGTTGTACAGCAGTGGTAGTGCCAGAACCTCCACAAGTGTGGTAGCGCTAACAGCGCTGCCGGGGCTGCTTAAACAAGCTAGATAAGGGTATGCAAATACCTTTTTAAGGTTATTTTTAGGCATTATTGCTAAAGTTACAACTTCACACCTCCATATTGTCGTTGAGTCTCTCTCTCTCTCTCTAAAGATTAAAACACATTTTCAACAGAGAAGTTACTTGGAAAATGACTGTAAATTTTTATTAGTACAGCTAGAAAGAAACACATCTGCTTGACTGCGTGACATTGCTTCCATTTGGAGCTACAGCTGCGGTAGAAGTAAAACCAACAATTGTTACCTTACAGTGAGGCTACACTTGTAAGAGAAACAGCATAATTGAGATCGTAGCCGTTATGTCAGCACACAGGGAAAGGCTCGATACAGTGGAAGGAGTATGTTTGCCTATTTCATGTGCACACATAAAAAAAGCAGTATAAAAATACATTTATAAAATTACAAATTTCCTCTTTACATGGAATGTTGAGTCAGACACAGTTGCGGGGAAGGAAAAGACCCAACTGCTCCCTCCTACAGCCATTTGGGCTGGGGCTCAGCCTGCAATTTCTTTGGACTGATCCCATACTGGAGGGGGCTGGACCATATGTTTAAGCAGGACTCTCCCTCATTTCCTGGGGGGAAGTGCTTGGAGACTGGTGGCAGGCCAAACCCAGTTAATTAAAATGTGTAATTACATATTATCATTTGGTAGTGCTAATATCTACATGAAATGATTATATGTACTCCAGTGCTTTACAAAATTCAAAGCTGCTAACTGCTTCATCTGGTGGAGAGATGTCAGGCTGGGCTGTTCACTTCACAACAGCACCTCTTTGTTTTTACTTCTGGAAAACAGACCTCGCTGAAACCTGCCTGTCACCAGACACGTCAGACGGACGGCGGGGCAGGCTGGCTCTGACAGCCCCTGGGCCGCCTGCTCCGGTAACTCTGGGTAACCGGCTCCGGGACTTTGAATGGTGCTGCCCTACAGCTGCAGAGATCCTGGCCCCCGAGAAAAGCTAAAGTGGGGGGCTGAGAGCTCCAGCTTCCGTATCCTTGAGGCAAGGGCATCAATAACCTGCTTCATCTGTAATCTACGTGCACTGGAAAAACATGGTCACAGCTGATTTCTCTCATTTATAGCCGGGGGAAGAAGAGCATTTATATGTTATAATAAAAATAAAATCCTTAATATATTAAAAAAAACCCAATAAACCAAACCCAAACCTAGCAAGGCCTAGAAGGGTTTTCTTTCTGAGCATGAAACAGTGATGCAATAGTCACTTAAATAGAGTTTCAGAATCCATACCATAAATATTGAGTATTTATTAATAATGCTGTCTAGTATGTCTAACGTTAGGCATGTTAAAGGAGAAGATACGGAAATAAGAGGTAAACCTTCACTAAAGCAATAGTCAGATCTATGTAGAATAGTTGTAACATGATTAATAGTACCTGAAATGTTAGTTAGCGCTTTTAATGCGTGTTTCCACATGCGGCAGTCACGGTATTGACAAGGCCCTGCCATGTTGTCATGGGGGCATGCCAGAGGTAGCAGAGAGGGTAATTACATGCCTTAGGCTGGATTCACAGCAGACCAGGCACAGCACTGAAAACACTCAAATTTTAAAGGCATTGCTCCCCGGTGAAATTCATCCTGTAATCCTCAGGTTCCAGACTCCTCCTACTCTGGCCTCCCAAAAGCTGAGCTGCGCAGGACGTCACCTACAGCAGTTGATAAGACACACCTTCCCTCTAGCACCATAAAGAGGTGCCAAGCTCCATCATGACGTTTTTCAACCACACTCTCTTGGAGCCAAGGCTTAGCCTCTTACCTACTGCACAGAGCACTCCGCCATCTGGCTACCAAGCACTTGAGCAGGGCTCTTTGAGCCTTTGCTGGTGAAGCTGTTGTACTTTGCTTAACATATTTCTAATATTCATTTGAACAGAAGTTGGAATCCAAGTCTTCTATCATTCAGATTTCTTTCTGCCTTTTTCTTTCTCCCAATTGTTCAATCTTGCTAAGCAAAATGAAACTTTCAATGCAAGATACTAGCACAGATCTATCCAAAAATACCCAGTTTCCCAGTATTTGGGATACTGCTCACACTGCATCTTTTGCACTTTAAATCTGCATCTTCCCGTATCTCGCCAGATGTTCAAAGTAGCTGACTCTAAGGGGGAAAACAATTGCAGTGGCATTGCCAACCCTGTTACGTTTTTAGAGGGCTGGAGATGTTCAATGCACACTTTATAGGCTGAACACACTATCCAAAATGGGGAAAAAAGGCAGCGGGGAGTAAGTTTGATAAATGTGCTAATCGGTGTAGTGCTGTCAGGACATGGGTGTTTCCTGGACACATTAAGACATTGGAAGCTTCAGAAAATTAAGTGGTAGAAACTGTCGAAAGAGTCTGAACAACTAAGTTTTGGTCTTGGGTGCCTCAAATGGTAGCTATGGGTCTGTTGGCCTACTGGTCCCTCCATCACCCGGCAGAGACACCCAAGCTGGCTCCGGGAACAGAAGCTGTGGAGTCAGGATGGTACAAGGTTATGCCCATGCAAGTTAGCCACCCTGAGGGACAGAATGCATTAGCTCAGGCACACCAGCAGCACACGGCTACGCACCTTTGGAGACCTGCGCGTGTACTTTGATGTGCCCTGTGCCGCATGGACGTACAAACCCGTCGATCTCCCCCACACCCTCCAGCGTGTGGTGCGGCCATGCCTGGTGTCGCCCTTGTGAATATACATCCCGTCAGTGCCGTCTGAATGCACTGAGTTCATTCCTCATGACAAGGAGTGAAAATGCATGTGCTCCTAATTGAATAGTATTAAAATAGGTTATCTAAAAAGGTTTTCTAGTCTGTGCTACTGCTTAGTTTGAATAGCTGAAAGGCAGAAAGTGGCTGATTTTTTCTTTTAAGCCTTTTGCTGTGTTTGGAATAGCACCACAACACAGTTAAAAGAAAAGTCAAAAGGATTATTAATTCTACCCCAAAGTATATTCACCAGCAGAGGGTTTACCGTTAACATACACTGCATATTCCATAGCTCCACAACAAGAATAGATAGAGCTTGAAACTCCTTTTCATAGAGTTTCTCGACTGCAAAATCTTCAGTGTTGAAGTGCTGATTCCTTTTTTCTTTTGTCTGTCAGCACAATTCTTACCATCTGGAGCTAGTTTAGCAGAAAGGTGTGGATGTATATTTGTCTTTCAATCCACTCAATAAAATGTGACACATTGCTGTAAACTCCAGGTCCCAAAACCTTGGAAAAGCAGACAGAGCCCCAAGATGTTAAACCAAACAAAGTCCAGCGCCCTGCAGGTTGCTCGCACACAAGCGGTCCTCCACTGTCACCCTGCAACATGAAAGAAAAAAGCAGTCTATAGGGGCTACACGTGGCCAGTGGTCATATGGTTAAAGCTATGTCTCAGTTCCTACAGCGATTTGCCTTTAGTAAGTAACTCGGCTGTAAAAACTGGCTGCTCTGCTGAACGATGTAGCAGCACACAGCGTAACCGGTGACATTTATTCCCTGTCACATTTGTGCAAAAAATTACCTGCAAAAGGCTCATACAAATTAAAAAAAATCAGTGTAATAGTTAACTAATACAGATAAACCTTAGCGTCTTCATGCAGGATTTCATTATCATAAACTGCAGTTGATTACACCAACAATAATAATAAAAGTTGGGTTAAAATGTGTAAATAACTGTTGTCATTCCTATAGTAGATGAAGTGTGCTATACCTAATAAACATCATAGTGCTTTGATTTCTAAAAGCAAGTCTGTCTGTGGGTGTCTCCTTAGAGAGAAGCCTACCATGCAAGAGTCCACAGTGCCAGACTCATAGCCAGCACACAGCATCCTGCTGGTGATGGTTTTCATGTCAAAGTATGACTGGCATTGTTCTAAGGAAATGATGCGAACCTCTCCTTCTTGAAGCTTGAAAGGCACTGAAAAACAGAATTAAGCATTAAATGATACACACACAAACACACAAATACTTAGCTATGATGGCTCTTTGAGATATGATAAATATTTCCATTAGGATAGATTATAAATATTACTTTTTATATATATTAAAAAAATGTAAGGAGAGAATAATCCCCCTTTAGCACAAAGCTAAGGTGAAAGCAGGTGGTTTTTTGCACTGCTGCATTGCAGGATTCATGACTGTCACACTCCTGAGCCAGGAGTGTGCGTGTTGCATTCTGCAGAAGGACTAAGCACGTGGGGACTGGTGTGACACTTGCTGTTTATCGTGCATTCGCACTGACAGCCTGAGGAGGGAGAGCACCTTTACATGATATGGTATGCGACTTTTAAGATGGGGGGCTTATTGGCTGGAAAACAGTAATGTGAGGGAGGTGGAGGAGAGGTTTGACTCATCGTTCCATGGCAGGATCTCCCTGTTTCTCGGTGTCTCTCATGGTAAAGCTTGGTATAATCACAGCCGTTTTGAGTTATGTTTGGGTAAATTTGACTTAGAGAGTGTATCAGGGAATCAGAATTCAAAGGTTACTGAAATTATTTTAGTGCATTCGGGAGACAATAAAGGACTCCTTCCTGGTCTAAACAGCTGACTGAGCTCCAGTTCTAAGGAAAGTTGTTCAACCTAGGGCGTGAAGTAGTAAAAGCTGTGTAGCCATGATGGTTTTTGATGCTTCATAACATAAAACCTTTAAAAGCAACGCTGAAACCTCATTAGAGAACAAAGAACCTTTTTCCACTTACTACTGGTGCAAAAGCATTCCGTGGGGTTTTTTTCCTGCCATTACATAAAAGATATTTTTAGATGGGTAGAGCTGCTAGTAAACAGCCTATCCCTCACATGTGCAATTTAATTTTTGCCACATGTCTGACCTGGCCACCAGAGGTGAAGTCCCACCTGAAGCAATACTGAAAGGAAAATTTCCTTCTCCAGTGTACAGAACAACAGCCTTCCCTAGTAATTATTATAATAGCAAGGGGAGAAACACAATGGCTAGAGCGTTAACAGGGTTGGGGCCAGGACAATTTGCATATGATGCATGCAGAATCGTTTTGTCAAAACAAAGATGTACATAACACAACTGTTCTTGTCATGGGACCCAAGGATTGCAGTGGCCACAGGACAAGAAAACACACCCACGTTCTGTTCAGAGAGACAAAAACAACACTTGTGATTATGCCTGGATGGAATAAATTATGTCACAAGTCCAAAGTGTGACACAGAGCATTGATTCAAGAAAACGTTCATTCAGGCTGTATGCCAACGCTTTCAGTGCCTTCCGCTTTCACTGAACTAAGAATGTTGCCCGCCCCTGATGATCTGATCCCTTCTCAATACAGTTGTGAATACAACCTAAACCGGTAAAATGATAACCAGTCCAGGTGACTTTCTTGATAGGAGTTTCTAGGTCCTCAAAATTTTTGAAAATCAAGCCACTTATCTAAATAAGGATTAAGGAGCATACATTTAGGCTGCTGATTTGAAAAAGCTAGGCTCTAGTCACAGCTAGATCCCTTCATGGGTAGTTACAGTTCCCTAGTATTTAATAAGGTCCAGTAATAGTATAAATGGATAAAGCTTTGTAATGGGATCACTTATTTGATTAACTCAGCAGAAAGTTCACAGGTTTTCCCAAGAGTCCCAGAAATACTCATCTTACTTTTGTTGCCCATGTGTCCCCAGCCTGTGATGTAGCAGTAGGTATCTGGCCGAACCAACTGGTCCTTGCTGGGCAAACAGACAGGTCTTACATAGCTTGTCTTGTTGATATCCTCATCTAGTTCCACAATGCTGATATCATAGTCTACGACTGCTCTGTTGTAGCGTGGATGGAGGATAATGGTCTTCACTAGTCGGGTCTGCATGAAGCCTGATGGATGATCAAGATTGCTAATCCCAAACACTACTTTCCAAACAGCTGCGTTTTCTCTCCTTTGTAAAAAAAAGAAAAAATGGGAAATTTCAATCAAAAATACCCGAGAGTTTGTTGTCTCTGACTTTTTTGCACATTGCACTTTGCAAAGCATTGCACATACAAATGGTACAAGAGAAAACAAATACTTCGGCATCATTACTTACAGCTAAGATCTGAGCAACAAGAGACAGTGCTTTCCATTTCCTTCCTGCCGGTTACCAAACGAATTAAAGCTCACACCTTCAGAAGGCATGTAACCACCTAGTAGTTGCTGTATGAAACGCCAAAGGCTCTCAAAACCATCCCTTGGGTCCTGCCCAAGTCTTAAGTGCTCACATGCTCACTGACGGGCATGTACAAATTTCTCTGGGGTGACAATATTGTTCACTAGTATGCTGCTGACAGCAGTAAGTCTAGTTAAAATCCCAAAGGAGTCTCAAAGAGGCAATTCTATTATGAAAATTGAATCTTTTATGATAGCCATGGGAAAAGTTCCTTATTTATTGGGCATTCAGTCTGTGCCAAGCATACTTCCTATGCCTAAGATCAAAGGTTACTTTGACTCTTACAGTTGCTTAAGACTCTTGGTAAATATACAAGATCACAAAAAAATGATGCGTATGATCCAAGTGGGAAGACTGAACTAGTGTCTGTTGAGACACATGAGAAAAACACAGACTTTATGAAAGTCTTTGAGGGTGTAATCTCTTGATCGTAACTGGTCACAGGATAAGTCACGGGTTCCTAATTAGTCTGTGATTCTAAAAACCCTCAAAAAAGTCAGCATTTTTCACAACTGATGAAAGACAGTTCCATGTAACTAAGCACCTTTGACAAGATCAAAGCTTAATCAAAGCAGGGTAAATCAAAGCATGCAAAATTTCAGCTTTTTCACAGTACTCAACAGGACTGTAATTTCTATAATTTGTAAAAAGATCTGGTTGCTAAATAAAGGCTACTTTTATCTTAAGAGTTGCATGAAAATTCTGGTATTTCAGACTATAATGATCATTTTGCCATCACCATCAGTTTGCGAGTTTTTCCATAAAGTTACAAGATTAAGTGCTATGAATATTCATATGCTAGTGTGTTTATGTGCATTGTAAAAAAGCATTGCTGAGAGCAATGAGCAGTCACAGCCAGAATGCATTGTCCTACAGTCGAGAAAAAAACCTTAATGTCTTGGATGCTTTGGTGTAATGCATTTCAAAACAGTCTTGACAAAACTCTGGGGACTATACTAAGAAAACTAGCAAAGGACACGATGTTTTAATGTAGCTCTTTCCATTTATGCCCTCTACAAGTAGTCATGACTATTTGCATTAATACTTTCTACTGCATTATTGTTACATGGTCCTCACGTTTTGTATCCCAAACTTCACATGAACTTCACAAAATACTTCACAAAATGGAGCATTTTGTTTAAAGTCCCAGAGCACTTTATAATCTGTTTTAATTGTTGGCTTATCTGGTTGGTTTGGTAAATTTTTAAATACTTTATATAAAGAAAACTTTGTGGCATCACGAATGATCTTGCTGTTGGGCTGGGAACTTATCCTCAAATCTATTTGGAGAGGCAGAAGTGAAAAAAGTTCATATAACTCCTTAATGAATTATTAAACCAAAATATCTTAGTACTTTAAGGTATTTAGAATACAAATGCGAAAGAGACCTTTTACACATAATACTCTGAGCTCACATAGATATTATATAGCCCTAAATGAGGGGTAAATGAACAGCTCCAAAATGTAGTAGCATTTGACAAAAGTGAGAGAATTTTTACTTCATAAATTTGACGTCTTCTTTGCTTATCTTTTGCTAAGGAGAGTAATCTCTTACCCGTGAAATTCAGTAGCAGTCCGATATTGCTGAAGGATCTACCTCTAAATCCCACCCTTTGTTTTAGATCACCAGAAAAAGTTCTTCCAAAGGTAAAGAAATATTCCAGACAGTGCTTAGCTTTATTTAAAAATAGACGGGGAAGGAAGACCATGACCAAGACAATTCCGAAGACGTGTAAACTTCCTCTGCACTCCAGACTGTCCATCCACCACAGGGCCTCAGAAACTAGGAGGCACCGAGTAGTGGTTAATACTGACCTTTTAATGATTGCAATCCTAATAAAGGAGTGGAGTGTTTATAATCAGAAAAGGCAGTGACTTCACTATGTCACTTGCACTGTGAGTAAATACTCAGTTTTTATTTTTACTAATGGCCACAGCATTTCTCCAGGGTCATTTCTATGCTGGTGCCCAGAATGATTTTTTAATCTATGGCATTTGTATGAGAGCTATAGGATTAGTGTTGTGGTCTTCTTCCTTTTCCTGTTTCCTGCTGAAAGTCAGGGCATCTTCGTTTAGCTTTCATCAGTAGAGACACCATCAATGAATAATAAAGCATGTGAAAACCTAAGTTGATACTGTTTTCTACCATTGACAAAGGATGAGGAAAAGCCTGAGGTACTTAATGCCTTCTTTGCCTCGGTCTTCAATAGTAAGATCAGTTGTTCTCTGGGTACCCAGCCCCCTGAGCTGGAAGACAGGGACGGGGAGCAGAATGAAGCCCCCATAATCCAAGGGGAAATGGTTAGTGACCTGCTACACCACTTAGACACACACAAGCCTATGGGGCCAGATGGGATCCACCCAAGGGTACTGAGGGATCTGGTGGAAGTGCTCACCAAGCCACTTTCAATCCTTTATCAGCAGTCCTGGCTAGCTGGGGAGGTCCCAGTTGACTGGAGGTTAGCAAATGTGACGCCCATCTCCAAGAAGGGATGGAAGGAGGATCTGGGGAACTACAGGCCTGTCAGTCTGACCTTGGTGCTGGGGAAGGTTATGGAGCAGATCATCTCGAGTGCCATCACATGGCATGTACAGGACAACCAGGGGATCAGGCCATCAGCATGGGTTTATGAAAAGGAGGTCTTGCTTGACTAACCTGATCTCCTTCTATGACAAGATGACCAGCATGGTGGATGAGGGAAAGACGGTGGATACTGTCTAC